TGCACGAGAGGCGCATCTGTGATCAGCTGGCGAAGAGCTTGATGGCCACCTTCCCTCACCACTTGGACAACTTCCAACGACGTGCCCGGAGCAAACTGGGAGGTGAACGGAATGGGCGAAAAGTCATCAGATGTGGAATAATACTCATCACGACGTCCATTCACCGCATGCGATGAAAAAGCTCCGGAAGGATATTCCACTGAAAACAAGCAGTTAAGTGTTTGTTAATTTCAGATATAAAAGGAAATTGAATTCATCTTACAAATTGGTAAGATAGAGTCATTGCCTTATAAAGGGCGAGACGATTTGGCCACATTGCGCATTTATAAGATAGGGTATATCGACAATATATCCCTGCCTTATAAAGCACAATGCAGCGTCAAAACGCCCCCTTTATTATGAGATGTGGTTTTGACCAAGCAAAACCCATCTTTAAAGCGTCGATCCTCACCAAGGAGAATCAAGGCTTTTCCCGATCGCCTCACCAAGGAGAGCAAAATAGGGTAAAAGGACTAAATTGCAAAATTCTCAGAAGAAGAGGGTTAATTTGCAAAATTTCCATAAAGCGTCGATCCTCACCAAGGAGAACCAAGGCCTTTCCCGGTTGCCTCACCAAGGAGAACAACGGGGGGTAAAATGGACTAATTTGCAAATATCCAGAAAAAAGAGGACTAATTTGTAAATTTTCGAAAAAGGTCAAAAAATTGCTCACCAGCATATGAGGGAGGCGCGCCATCAACCGATGCAGCAGGAAAACGACCTCTCGATACTCGCGACATAATGGCCTACAGAAAAAGAATTCAAGAGGTCAGATCTAGAAATAAAAATCACTTTTTTATCCCCTAAAAAGGCGAGCTTGAGGCATCAAATCACTCCCTCAACCCTTATATGCGATCCCGCTATTCCATACACTAGATCAAACATGAAATAGATCAAGATTATGGAGATATACCTGAGGGGAAGCTCGAGGATCCGACAAAAATTAGATCTTGGAAGTGCTCGAACCACGCGCTCGAGGGGCTCGAAGGAAAGTCTAAATATGGAAGTTTCGAGGGATTTCTCAGTCAAGGATCAAAAGGAAGGATGAATCTAAGACGAAGATCGAGTTTTGAGGGAGAACGGAGGCTCGAGGGAAGAGAAATTCAAAAAGGAGGCAAAAAGGGGGGGGCCGGCCCTAGGGTAAAGAAAAAAGAAAAGAAAAAGACCCCCTTTATATAAGGTGGACCGGGTTGAACCAAACCGAACCGAACCGGACCGGACCCAGTTCGAACCAAAATCCAAATTGAAGCCGAACCGAGCATCGAAACGACTTCAAATCGAGCGACGGTTCAGTCCATCATTCACTCACCCCTCTCCCATTTGTTCGGAGGAGTTGGAGGATTTTTTGAGCCGATTTACTGCCTTTTTTGGCTCATTTTAAGCCGGTTCAGCTCATTTAGGCACAAAAACACTCCGAAAAGTATACGAGTATAAACTGCTTCTTAATACTCCAATAAGGTATATGAGTATAAACTATTCCCTATTTTTGGTTTGAGAAGTTCCTGGAGAATATTGTTTATAAATATTCTTAAGGATAACTCAACCACACTACGCCGGACAACGCGTTGTGCATAAAGACTCGACGCCACAATCAATGGTCAGCTCAAAGGAATCGACTTCAAGTTCAGAAAATTCCGACAAACGGTCAGACAATAAATGCAGCACCGGAACTCTTACAGACTTTCGACAAAGCACCGAAAAGCCTGGAGAATTGAAGGAGTCAAGAACAGAAGCCATTCCGAGGTCCCGTTATACCGACTGAAGGTAGGGACAATCATATCCAAAGTATCCCAGACTCTTCTATAAAAGAACGAGACTGAAATACTTTGGAGGGGGTATCTGTAGGCATATAAAATTGCTTATAGGTCCCCTAGCATAGCTCGGCACAAACCGACGAACCAACGAGGCGACGAGATCGACGAATCGCACAGAAGCGACGGAATGCATCCACCCGCGTGCAGAATCAAGCTAATGAGTTGAGGAATCAACGAGCCATCCAACCAAGGGGAAACTCGGACGAATCACGATCGAATCAAGATCAATTTCGGACTCGAACTCAGAAGCGGATTTACTGCCAAATCAGGAATCCAACTTACTGCCAAATCAGATCAACCAATCAGAGTCTCAATCAACCGAATCACGGACAGAACCGGAAACAACGGAAAACGACTCGAAAAAGTCGGAAAACACCGCCCGCGGGGGCTCGGCCAAAGCCGAGCCACCTCAAGGCGGCTCGGCCTTAGCCGAGCCACCTTGAGGTGGCTCGGTGGCCGAGCCACCTCAAGGTGGCTCGGCCAAGGCCGAGCCCGTAGGAGTCATAACCCCGAAACCAGCCAAGAATGTGGGGGCCAACGCAGTGTCAATCAGTTTTGGGTCGGTGCCTACAACTTGGTTCGAGCCAAAACGCGTCACCAAAGTCGGGATGAAGACGGTGAATGACGATCCGCACGGACAGCGCCAAAAGGGACTTGTGCCGCACACAACCCCAAATGGCGAAATCCTTTGGGTTCATCCAGATCTGATTGGAGATGAACAATGGGCCGGTTCGTCATCCGGGAGGAAGTCTAAAGGAAAAGGGAAGTCTTGTTATGGAGTCTCTGCTATCCCAGGGGAAGATGACGAAAGAATCCCCACTTTCCCGCTCTCTGAAGAAGAATAAGAAGCTTTTGCGACACGGAGCGGAAATGAGTATCACTACAATTATCCGCCACCTAGTGAGCAGGGGGTGAACAAATGGGGACCAGCCAAAACTCTCACAGAAATGGGGTGATTATGAGTCCCACACCGGGTAAAGAAGCTCTACGACAGCCGGTAGATAAACATAAAGAAAAG